CGTCGAGGGCCGTGTTGAAATCACGCCTTCAATATAGCATGTTCGCCGCATGGTTTCTATGTGTGGCTACGAATTGCTGTGGATTCGTTGAAGGTCGCAGAACGCAAAGAGCTTGGTCAGTCTCTGATTGGGTAGTTGGGGAAAGTACTTAACTTTTGTGACGAACTACCGTGTATTAGTACGTACGACCATTCATGTTCACCCCTCAAACAAGATAACTCAAGCAGGGATGTATAAGGTTACCGTCTGGTCCTACCGGTACAGTATAGTGTAGTACTGGTTATGGAAACTGATTGGCTTTTGCAAGGTACTAGTACTCCGGAGTAACTTTATGAGCACATACACCCTGGAGTATTTCATGCTGGATAACGTCAAACTGCAATGCAGTACAGTACACCGGCAAGTGGTTGCCCTGTAGTCTACAGATCACATTTGAAGCGTAGGTTTGTTTAAGCTTAGAGTTGACCTTGTAACTCGAATTTTTCGCCAAGGATTTGCTAGAATCATTGAGCAAATTACCGGTGTACTACTATACTTTGAGTACTCCTGAAGTCTGTTTAACGTTTGAATGCTTTCGAATAAAAGGACATGAATTACGGCCCATTGCGATAAAACACTAAATAATTAACCTTATACAAACAACATTACCTGAGTATTCGTGATCTACCAGGTATGCAAGGAGAACTCTAAGCTTATCTTTAAATCGTGATCTGAAGACTTCTGTACAACCACTTACTGCATGGCAATTTGAGGTTATTAAGCATGCAATACTCCGGGGTGTATGTGCTTGCTTGCCGGGGCATTCAGTTTCCACATTACAGTACTGAATCTCGTATCAGTCAGTATTTCACCTTCTACACCCCCTCCAGCTGTGTAACAATGTATGTACTCATCTTGTTTGAGACAGTGGGCATGGATGTTCGTACAATTTGCACACACACACACAGACGCTAAGTTATACTATAGTACTAAGTACTGGTACAGTATGTCGCCATACGAACTACCCTAACTGCCCAATCAGAGTAGCCAGGCTGGTCGACGTATTCTCCAAGCAGCGTATTTGATCGTTTCTGCTTTCTACTACGTAGTACTTTGCAACCTTCAACGAATCCACAGCAATTCGTAGCCACACATAGAAACCATGCGGCGAACATGCTATATTGAAGGCGTGATTTCAACACGGCCCTCGACGGGTATTTTGCCCCACTACAGTTGTCTTGTACTTGTATACTAACGTTAGTAGTAGTATAGTAACAAGCAAAACATTGACGACAACTTTGTCCGAATGCGAAATGCATCACACCAGATATAGCATTACAGTACTGTACTTGTATGGTACGGTAGTACTAGTCGTTGCAGGCAAACGCTATCACAAGACGGCCAGTGACAGCGTGCGTGACCACGAGAGTTTGAAAAATCCAGTTGTTGGATCCAACTATACCAGAGACGCACACCATCATGGTCCGAATGTGACCCCCTCCCTCCTCTCTCATCTTGTATGAAAAATTTCACCCCAACACCATTGTTCAATTGGCTACGATGGACGTGAAGCGGCCGATTGTGGATTTGGAAGAGCGCGTGTCGTTCGTGCACTCGACGGCGGACAAGGACGTCCAAGGCGAGTACGCGGACGTCAAGACGCCGGGGGATCTCGAAGGGGGTGCCCTAGTCGCCGGGGGGGCGCTGAGCCTCATGTCTCGTGAGGCCATGGGGCTCTTGTCCCAGTACGCCGCCATCGGGGTCGTGCTCAACATGCTCCCGTCGCTCAGCTACCCCCTCTTCACGGCCTACCTCAACATGGAAGGGTACCAAACGTCCTCGTACGGGGTGCTCGTGACCATCGGGTACTCGTACAAGGTGTTCTTTGGCATGTTGTCCGACTGCTTCCCCATCTTTGGCTACCGCCGCAAGCCGTGGATGCTCATCGGGTGGACCACGACGATGATTTGTTTGTCGATTCTGACGTTTTCGAGCTTTGGCACGCCGTTTTGCGACCGCGAAAAGACCAAGTACTGCGGCAAGGCGCTGGAAACGGTCCCGGCCTCGGAGCTCAAGCACTTCAACTTGAGCGCCCCCGACCAAGGCATGTTCTACATCATGGTGTCGATGGTGGCGTCCATCGCGTACATCATCGCCGCGTGCGCGTCGGACGCAATGGTCGTCGAGTACGCCCAGCGCGAGCCCGAGGCCATCCGCGGTCGCGTGCAAACGGCCATCTACGTGGTCCGCACCATCAGCGGCATTGCGTCGTCGGTCACGATCGGGTTCGGTTTGAACGGACCCAACTACGGCGGGTCGTTCGGCTTTGCAATCTCGCCCAATGTTCCGTACGGTATCTGCTTGATTCCGTGCGTGCTGGCCGTGATCGCGACGCTGACGCTGGTCGTGGACAAGAAGACGCCCGGCGTGCCGTTCCGCGAGTGGTGCGCCAACTTTTGGGAGCTGCTGCAGCACCGCGTGATGTGGCAGATCTGTTTGTTCCGTGTGGTCGTGAGTGGTCTGCAGTCGATCGGGGCTACCCCCGGGTCGCTCATCTCGCTGTACTGGGCCAAGGTGGAGCCCATCAACAACGCCGTGATGGACCTCGCGAGCAGCGCCATTTTCATTGCCACGCTCTCGGCCGTGGGCAAGTGGGGCCTCGCTTGGAACTGGCGGGTCATGATTGCATTCGGCACCCTCGGGGTCATGATCATCGACGGCCCCGTGCTGTTCTTGACCATCTGGGACGTCGTGCGCAACCAGTGGTTTTACACGGGCGCGACGCTGGCCGACACGATTCCCGCGGGGGTCCGCTTCATCGTGTCCACGTACTGCGCCGTGGAAGTGGCGGATGTGGGGAACGAAGGCGCCACGTACGGCCTCATCACGACCATTGCCAACCTCATGGGGCCCATCGGGTCGGTCGTGTACAAGTACATTGACTCGTACTTTAAGGTGTTTGCGAATGATATCAAGAGGGATTCGGACGAAGTGCGCTGGGACGTGTCGTACGTGTACTTTATCTCGTACGGGTGCAAGATCATGTCGTTGTTTGGGCTGTTGTTGTTGCCGCCCCAGAAGAAGGAGATGCAAGAACTCAAGCGCAAGGGTGGCAAGAGCAAGGTCGCCGGCGCGTTGATCATCATCGGGTACTTTGTGTGCATTTCGTTCTCCATGACGAGCAGCATCATGGCCATCTACCCATCCACCAAGTGCTACCGCATCGCGGGTGGCAACGGCAAAGTCGACGCCAACGGCAAGTGCTTGAAGAGATAAACTCGTCGGTCGTGTCGTGTACAGTAGTAGTAGGAGTATTGGAATACATATTGCGTCTTGTGGTGTCAATCCTGTGTTGTGTATCCAGCGGAAACCACATGAGCAAAGACGAAGACCCTAACTAGTTCTAGGGATAACTAAATTCAGTACAACAGTCACCACTGGTAGCGCTCATTTCTAGTGGACATATGTACTGTACACTATCCCCTCAGCTCCAGCGAGGCTACCTAGTGCCACCCTGTGATGTCAACACAGTACCACAAACGTGATGTGTATAGTTCACTCGATTTACCGAGTCACTCCAGAGCCAACAAATGATTGCAAATGTTTAAAGTGGTCGTTTGATACAGTAGTTTGTTAACATGACATGACTGCCAGAGAGTCGTTGGTGAAGATGCAGGCCTCGGAGGCGGCGACGATGGCGTCAGCACGACGTTGGCCGTGATGCCCAACTCGATCGAGACACTTTCGTAGCAGGACGCAATGACAGTGGCTATTTCACTGGTCTGACACCACATGTGCGGCACAGACCTGTGATAGGATTGCCGAGGGCACCCCCCGCACTTGACCATCACAAGACCGTGGAGCTTCTTCCTCAACAACTCCTTGGCTTCAGCCAGGCCAAACGTAGCTCCATGTTTGAACGTCATCGCATGTGTGACACTGACCGCCACGCGAGTCCCGCGTATGATGATCTGCATTTCCGTCACGACATCGATGGCACCAAACTGCCAGTTCATGTACTCCATCGATAACGCTTCCGACACTTCGCTCTGACCGCCAGAGTTGGGCTCCCGAAGGACCAACCACTCACAGCAGCTGCATCGAAGAAGCCTTCTGGGCGGAATATCGTACAAACTAGTCACGGTAGAGTTGTTGGCAGCACAACCGCGATTGGCGCTTTCCACGGGTGTGGTTGCATGAGCATGCGGAAGCTATCGACGTCGAACGCTGTGTTGTGTCTCCAGTGGCATGACAAGAGCAAGTTGCAAGTCTGAAGTCGATTGCCAAGTGTTGGTCGTACAATTACCATCACTCTATCTGGCCAACTAATCACAACGACACAGGAGTGTTGGTTTCCTTCCTCTCATGTTTTTACATGGACAGATACTGCATTGTGTATTTCACCCAAATTTGACTCCCGGAAGAGATGTGATTTCGCCAAATTCATTTGAATTCATTTGATCCCATATTTAAGCTTGTACAAACTAATACTAGGTAGTTTATGTATGATAAAAATATTAGTATATATATGGTTTTGCCCAATAGGGACAAAGTCAAGTCAAAAGTTTGGATTGGCAGAAATTCACCAGAACGTGATTTGATTGGCTTAGGCGGTTCTTTAATCCATTCTCTGCCATTCGATTCTCCATTTTGGAATCGATTTGACAACAAGCTTACAGTATGTACTTCGTATTTTCGTGAATGTTGGTCTTTGAATCCACTGGTGAGGAAACAAACACATCCATGTTATTACCGGGTCATAAATATGGCGATGACTCAGCAACGTGGGTTCTACACAGCGGCGGCGGTCGTGGGGATGGCGTCGTCCACGAGCGGAATCTCCACGAGGCCGTGATCTTGCTGGGGGGTCATCTCCTTGAACAAGAACGACTGCGCGACAATATCATGCTGGCGAGGACTGCTCAGCTGCAGCGGCATCGCGACAGAGTACTTGACGGGGTTGCCCATCTTTTCATGCTTGGCAATCAACAAAATCCCCACCATGACCAGCACCAGCGCAGTGGGAAACATGATCCATTGTGTTGCGTTGAAGTTGTGCGCTTGCTGAAAGAACACAATACCGCTGATGTTGCTCATGCCAATCCAAAACGCTTGAAAGACGGGGTACGCAGACATCGTGTCGCCGCACATCGTCGCCTTGTTCAGGGCATGGGTCTGACTCAACAAGCATGCCACCATACCAGCCAGCAAAATCCACGTTCTATGAATATATTGTCAAAATGATTCGAAACTCGACCCCTCGGCAAAATGCGTCAGGAGAATCAAGAACCGCCTCAACCAATCAAATCACGTCATATGTCAAATTTCTGCCAATCCAAACGTTTGATCATTGGACTGATCGTTGTATATTATAGTGTGTACAAGCTTAAATAGGATCCAATAGATTCAAAAGATATTTAGCAAAATGACTCTCAAGTCCAAATGTGGGTGAAATGCACAATTGATGTTTGAAATGTATCAAAAAAAGATTAAAAAAACGTTACGAAATGGGCAATGTATCAAAACAAGATTAAAAAAACGTTACGAAATGGGCCACGTTGTTTCGAAAAAAAGCGAAAAAATTGAAAAAAAAAGCGAAAATGTCGAAAACGCGGAACTTTCGACGTACCCAGGATAGATGAACTGGTTTTCGCCGATAAAACTCATGTTGATCAGTTCCATGACACATTTGGCAAGGAGGACCGACTGGGCGCCCAATGTGCCGGAAATCGCGGCCCAATACAGCGGCAGATGCTTGTCGATGACGAGGGAATGCTTCTGGGACACGAGGATTTTGCCACCGTTCGACGAAGGCGTGGTGCTGTCGTCGTCAATCAAGCACTTGTCTTCGACCACGTCGACGACGGGAGAGGGAAACGGAGACATGTGGTGTTCGGTGCTCGAAGTGCTGCTCGACGGACGAAGGGTGGAGGTGGCAGAGGTAGTGGACGACGTCTCAGCATCCTGCACACTCTTCTCGAGGTCCGCGAGTTCCTTCTTCCGCACTTCTTCCGTGACGTCGACCACGCGAAGGGCAGGAGACGTGCTGCGGCGCACGCGGAGGACCAAGAACGACACAAAGATCGACGTGCAGATCGTATACACGATGAACGCAGGCGCACGCATCATCTCAAACAGTTGGGCAACTTCGTAGTGCCCTTCTTCCGACGAGGACAGCGCGAGGACGACAACTCCCGTGGATACGAGCACGACGCCCACCACGTCCGTAAAGTACAGCGGTTGCTTCAACCAATAGTGCGCGAACAGCACGTTGGCGACGATCGTGGACCCGCCGCCCAGCGAAGCGACGAGGGTCTGCGGAGCAAACCCGAGCGCGAACAGATCCCCAAGGGAACCAAACACGACGAGAAACATCCCGAGCCACCAGTATGGGCGCTTGGTGTACGGGCGCTGCAGGTGCTTGGCTTTGGCATCTTCCTGATCATGCGACCGTTTCTGCACGTTGACGCCGAGGTTGGAGCCGATGGCGGCGGAGATGGCAATGGTCGCGCCCAAGAAGTCACTCTTCATGATAGATAGAGTCGAGGGTTCGGAAGCGAAGGAGAGGGCGGACAGACGTGCGTGCAGACGGCGGCGGATGGGTGCGTAATGCCGACGTCAATCGGTTGTGTGACCAGAACCGACAAACCACGCAAAAAACGCCAAAAAAAACAAATTGTTTAGGGTCCTCATAGAAAACTACAGTGGTTTTTTCAAAAAAAGCAAAACATTTTTTGCACAAGAAGCCAGTGCGGAGAGAAGGGAGAGAATGGTATTATAATGAAATGCTATGCCGAGGTATATGAATATCTAGTATACCTTGGCGGGTGAGATTAAAATGCACCCATCACCCAAGTCCGACCAGCCGACGACATGTAAATTGTCATGATATCATGGTTTCCGTCGTCGTGATTTTGCTCATCCAATATATGCAATGTTGACATGAGATGGTAAGTTGACAATGACCGGATTCTGTCGTCGTAGCACCTATGTTTGTACTTTACCAAGACTTTTTATACTTGAAGCTTGTAAGCGCGGTCGTCGTGGTTATCTATGAGAATCACTACTCACGTACTGAAGATGACTCCCCTCCCCCCTATGGATTCATCCACGTTTAACTGGTAGTCGACGTGGCAACTCGCAATTGACACGCCAACCCATGGAGTTTGAACAAGCCTCGTTGCGCCATTATTGGCCATACAGTACTATCGTTAAGCTAGATAGGGCTGCAATAATGTCGCGACGCTGGACAAATATTCTGTGATTATCATGATTACCTAACAATGCTTCCCCTGGATTTTTCTTGCAAGGCCAACAACTGGTGCGAATTTGCCTTTTAAGGCGATCCAAGAATGACATGAAATTCAGTAAACGTTAGTTTTATAGCCCGGGAGGATATGCAATACAGTATGCAATGGGAACTCGAAATGGGAAAACCGTGTGCAAGGACACTTACTTATTAGCAAGGACCAAATAAACGATGGGTTGGATGATACAATTATCTGGATTTCTCATAGAACGCAGCCACTTGATTGGTTGGAATAATTACGGCTAAATGATTGTTTAAATTCCTCCGAATACTAATTTCCTGATATGGGGAAATAATATGCACGCACACACACCTATGTACAATGCTCGCATACTTACAATGAGGCAGGCGTCGTCGTCCATCACAACATGCTGTGATGGATGCATTTCGCCCACAGGGCTCTCGCTGAATCGTCAAGTTGGAGTGGTCAATCGCGACGTCGAGTACTCATTCCGGATGAAGCGTCCGGATAATCGCAGCTGGGGTTGGTTTGACAGACGAATTTGACAACAACATGGTACGACTGACTTGCCCACGAGGCCCCGTTCGTTGAGAGTGTGTGGTGTGTCCACGTAGCTGCGCGAAAGGGAAATGGAACTGGCGCTGCAGCAGATTGTGTACGAGGAGCAGTCCAAGATGAAAGCGTTGGGTATGTCCTTCTTTCCTCGTCGGACGTCGTCGTCGTGCTTTTGAAATGTGGGTTGACGACAACATGTAGGGTTTGCCGAGGCGTACATTGGGTCGAACGACGCCAAATGTAGTATTTTCCTGTCGTCGCAATGGGAGCGCGTGTCCCGCCTCCTCCTCATCATTGTGAGCGGGAATGGAATTCAGCCTGGAATCTGGAGTCGATCTTTGGTCATGGAGCCTCAAGACCCTTCCCGCCAGTACTACCGCTCTGGTTCCATGTACGACACTACTGTCCGTCGCTCGCCTTCATTCCACCCGTCGCGGCATCTCTCATGATCAGTTTCACAGGTTGCCGTACCTCCATCAAGCGTTGACGTTGGGCTATGGAGTGATCGTGACAAACCCCAGCACGAACATGGTGATCACCAACCGTGGAGACAAAATACCCATCCCCTATTCCGGCACCCCCGAAGATCACGTTCGGTACAGTTCACCACTCCCCGTCGTCGACACGTCTATGATGTTCCTCCATCCATGCCTGCTTGATATGTTCTCTCTGGGATAAATGATCATTCATCTATATGTGGGTTTCATCTATATATATCGGGTTTCATTTCAGAAAGACCCTGTAAGTGTAATCCGTTCCACTTTCGACTTTTGCGTAGAATCGAGTCACGTTTCGAATATCCTAGCCAATGAAACTTCAGGAAATTGAGAAATTTCAACCAATCATCGATTCGATTAACAGTTTGGCAAAATATTCATCTTCAATTGTGTATACCATACGAGAATCAACTCTGCTTCCAATTACGTCTAAATTTCGTCAAAAAGGACAATACATCGTTATATCGCTCTCGACTGCATTGTTGTTGTCGCCATCTATTTTCGTTGGTTGAAGTGGCTCCATATATATATATCGAGGCCTACTATAATATACTACTCAATGCCATATTTAGATATGTTTGGGAAGCATTTGCAATGCAAGCCCGATGCCATCAAGTGTACATTGCCGCGTACGGTCGTGGAGGTGCCTTAGCCAAGCATCTCCTTCTCACGCAGCCCGTTCTGCGGCAGAAATTGGCGGCGATCGCGTTCATCGAGTCCAGCCATCGTGTGGGAGCTGATGACCCCGAGGTATAATAGCAAACTCCCTAACTTGTGAGCAATTTTCCAACGTGATTTATTCGCTATAAACTTGCAAAATTCGCGTGGTTTGTCGAATCAATATTGAATCACTGTGGAAGCTCTGATTGGCTGAATATACTTGTCCTTTCTGTAAGAGCCAATCAAATCCACTCTAAATTGGATGAGCCAAAATAGCGTCGATTCGACAAAGTCTGGAAATATTTGTACCGAATCCACAATATGTCGAACTGTTTTTGTTTCACAAGCCAACTCTTGTGTGTGTTGCCTGTCTGTCTCGCCATCGTTCGTAGGAGTATTGATTTTTGGTATCATGTATATATATATTATATATATTTATATATTTACACGTGAACATACTGTATGTAGGATGTACGAACGATCATCAGCACCCGCGCTATCAACTGGCAACGCTCCACCGAAGACGCCGGCCGACAGGTATTGTGCTTTCAGCCAAAGATTATAGAGTTTTGTCTTCGGATTCGCCATATTTCGTATCGATCGAGGGGTGTTTATATTGAATTTTGTATGTACGCAGACGTTTTCCAGTCTCACGCTCATTCAGGTCACTTACCAAGTCGATGTGGAATGGTGGATTTTTGATTGGTTCTTTTGATTCGAGTATTCTGGGTTTTGATTGGTCGTATATCGATTGCCTGCCAAGTTTTGGGGTGGCTCATTCGCTTATTGAGCTCAATTTCAAAGTATTGATTTAACAAGGCCAATTTTATATCTTTAGAATTCAATCGTGTTTTCAGCAATATTTAATTTAGCGTTCATGTTTTCATAATCCATTCTCGTCGTCGTCGTTGTCGATTGAGGCTGACTTCTATGAAATTCAAAGTTACAAAAAGTTAATTTTTGATAATATTGCTATAATTATTTGATCACATTGTACATCGTCGTCATTGTAGTTGTCGTGGTTCTTATGGTATTGTCCTTTTACCCAAAATTTGGACTTTTGTGATGAATCGCCAAATATCTACATATCGATCGATTCTTTATACTGCATGTTTGTATGTAAAAATGTGTTGTCCTGTGGTGATTCGTATCACACGAATTGAAGTCACATACGAATTTGATTTTTTTATGATGGTTTCCTGCAATCGGATTGGCTAATTCGTTCTGCCGATAATTCTTGTGTATATTTATTCGTCGATTCATATTCTCCATGTATGTCGCTTCTCCAGTTTAGAATATAAACACTCTACAATATGGTAGCTTCCGGACTGTACCCAACTGGGGTGCTTGAGTTTATCTGCCGGAGAACCCCAAGCCCCATCTCGTTCATCTGGGGAACAACGCAGCACCAACACCGCGTGGACGATCGCCGCGAGCATGGAAACTGTGTTTGCCTTCTTTGATAGTGCTCGGGGGTAAGTGTTCATATTTTAAAGATATTGTGCTTTTCAGTCAAATAATTTGCCTTTTTTGGTGGGGGATTGATGAAATCGCCAACTAATCGAGCAAACGATTATGATTGGCTATAAAGAATGAAGGTTTCAATTTGATTGGCTAAAAAGATTGATGGTTGTAGTATTGCCGTCACAAGATACCTCTTTGTTTTTATACGAAATTTCAAAGATTTTTTTTTCGGCGATTGTTCGGCGGTTGATTCAACTAACCACTGGAGGAAATTTTGAGTAGAACAAGTCACAATACTGGTATTGTTGATATGATAGTACAAATATGGGGAGGGTGCAGTCGAATCGCGCCGACCAACCGATCCACAATCGATCTGATTGGTTGAATTTCATTGAGAAGGTTTTGATTGGCTAATACTTTTGAGCTCATCTGAGGTAGCCAATCAAATCGATTTAAATTCCAACGAGAAACCACGCCACAACACAATGAAATTTCACTCGAAAGCACAATATACTGTAGTGTTGTGCTTTCAGCAAAGAAATAGGGACATTTTGAAAGCGGATACACCACCACCACCTTTACTCGATCGAGTTTGCTCTTTTCACTCAACCTTGTGTGTGCCACACACTAAAGATTAACCGTTTTGATTGGCTATTTGATTGGTGTTGTGGGTTTTGATTGGTCGATATCAAATGCCTGCCTTGCTGCTCATCATACCCCCCACTTCCATGGATCGAATATTGAATATCACCATATTCCTACTACCGTCGTGTTTGGTCGATGGTGAGATGAGTAGTAGTACTAGTACTAGTCCATACCTAGCTAGTACTACTACTGCTACTAGTAGTTGTGCTGCCACACCAGTGGCGGGATATGTCTATCAGTCATCATCCTTCTTGTTCTTTTTTTAATTACTTGCTTGGAGTCTTTTAAATTGTTATATTCGATATCGAACTTCAATGTTTTGTGATTTAAACAATTCGTTGGTTGTGTTGTATAAACTGATATATATATATATATATATATTGATTGCACGACCAGGTACGATTTGGCCGACGAACAAAAGGTTATGGAGAAAATGTACGGATCTCAGGCGCCGTACACGCAGCCACCGCCGCTGCACCCGCAGCCCCCCGCGCAGGGCCAGCACGAGGAAGGCGACATGGTCATTGAGCAAGTTGTCGACACTACCTCTCGGTTGACAAGTACGTCCTTCGCCTTTTCTAGGTTTACATGGACTCGATATTTATTATGTATCGTTCCCGTGTACGAGAGAGATAGTGTCCATTTTCAGTCAATATTTTGATTTTTTTGCTGATTTGCCAAATCCATGGATCGATTAGGTTTTTTTTCCTGATAAACGGAACAGTTGATAAACAAACGGCCCATGGCGAGACAGACCCATCACACGAATTAAAGTCATTTCACACTAATTAATTGTTGATTTTCGATGAGGATTTCCTGCAATCGGAGGGGCGGCTCCATTCTGCTGTTTATTCCCATTTGGTTATGTGTGGCCGATACGTTTGTCCCTTGAAATACTTTGAAATATAAACATAGCCGTATATCGTATGTCTTGACGTTGGTGGCGTTGATGCCGTCTATTGTTTGGTGTGCTCTACACATGGGTCATTCCATCGATCTATATATATATATAAACGTATATATATAAACGTATATATATATATATATATATATATACGTTTACAT